TCCTGAATAACATCCAGATGTATGGAAATTCCATCATTCAAAAGGAAATATTTCAGGGAGTAAAAAGCATATGCTCTAGGACTCAAATACTTCATAAATAAGCCAAGAATGGGGGATAGACATTATCTGTGGTGTTTTCTAGACGCATTTTGATGCTTAATATTTTGCTTTGTAGTCAACCAACCAACAAAATTGGCTGGAGGGCCAATATTGCAAACCAGTGCCCAGTGCACTGACACAATAAAACCTTTGACAACCTTCACAGTCACTGGTAGATCTGAGCAGCAAGTTTGTAATGATAACATTAGGTATGGGTGATACGCAAAAGTTTCCTAAATCAGATTAAGGCTCACATTTTATCAGCCAGGAAGGAGGAAGGTAGAGAAACCACCCAGGTTTCTGAAGAAATATTCAGGATCAGATACACAATGTTCAGTAACCATTCAGTAAATAGGCAAATAGGCAGGAAAAAAGTTCAGGAGCAGGAAGGCCATGCTTAAAATTGTAAGATCTGTATCTTAACCAGAACAGGGAGTACAGTTTTATGATATAGATTCACTACATTTTCTCCCGAATACCTGTTTTATGCAGTTACGCTGCATGCAAGCAAATTGCTCCTAGCAATATCAGCCTACTCCAATCAGATTTCAAATAGAAGCATTAAATATAGCTTTTAAAAAATATGTATATTTCCTTAAATTGACCACTGGAAGAAATGAGAAATCCTCTAAGAACTTCCCTGAAAGAGAGGACTGCAGTGTGCCCTCATATCTGATTAAATATAATAAGATCCATGTGGGAGTGAGATTTTCTATATAATCCAGAGGGGGAACCAACTCTTGTCACAACTCATACCCTTACCATCACAAATACCAGGACAGCATAACACAGCAGCCACTAAGGTCCCTTAGTTCTAGTGCTCAGCCAATAACTGAAGGAGATTTTGTCTTGTTATATTGAGGTTAAATTATGATTTAAATTCCTGGTAATCTTTTCCCAAGCATCTAGTGGTAGGATGCGATAGGAAACAGCTTCAAGTTGTACCAGGAGAGGTTTAGATGGAATATTAGGAAGGATTTCTTCATGAATACAGTGGTCAAGAATTGGCATGGGCTGCCCAGGGACTGGTGGAGCCCCCCCACTGCTGGAGGTATCCAGGAGATGTATAGTTCTGTGAATGTGGTAGGTCAGACTGATAAGTCTTTTCCACACTCTATAATTCTATCACTCTATAATGAAAGCTTACCACCAAAAGTGGTGCCTTATTCCCCACTTCTTTTTTTCCCTGTTTCAATCATTGTCTAGATGGCCTATGTAGATCCTATGTGGAAAGCGAGATACAGCCTTAAAGGCAGAAATTGTATGGACTTAAACATCAGGAGTTAAAAAACAAAAAAAAAAAAAAAAAAACAAAAAAAAAAAAAACAAACCAAAACACTTATCTAACCTGAGCTCTGCAGCTGAAAAGTACTTCTAGTACTTAACTTAAAAATATAATTTTTCACATAATTGAAAGACAAAAAGAAGTAAAATGAACACATTCAGAGGAAAAAGCAGCTTCGAGTGTCTGGCCGTATCTGTTAACCTTTTAATGTCTGAGTTTTGCTGAAGCTTAAATACCTAATTTGTTCAACAGAGAATTCTCACCCATTATTTTTCACATGAAGCAGAGAATTTTAACATCTCTAAGTGCCTTCCTGCCTTCTCACAATCCAAAATAAATGCAAAGATAACTGCTGAATCTTTCTGAGTAGAAAAGGCCAAACTTGTGACTTCTGTAGTTTTTTTTCCGTTTTTAAGAGGTTAGGAAGGAACACTGGAAAGGAAATAAGCTGGTGAATTGTGCTCTAGTCTCTCTGTAAAGACACCACTTTTCTGTTATTAGTTTGTTGGTTTCCTTTCTGGTCTTTTATTGTGTTTGTTGTTGTTTTCCTGTTGTGAAACTGCTGCCTATAAGAGAGGTAGGTTCAGGGACATAATGGCCCTATAGGCTGAGGTGAAACCAGATGACCCATTTTCCACTCTCTCCAGCTCTCTAATGCATCTCCTTTCTGAAGTCAGCTAGGGCTCTCATAGGAACCCTCCAGTAGCTAATTTAGCTCCCAGAAATGAAAAAAAAAAACAAAAAAAACAAAAAAAACCCAACACTAGTATTACTAGGGAAAAAAAAAAAAAAAAGAAAAAAAAGAGGGAGCACTCTGCCACTGAGTTACATCGACTCAGTGAAGAGTTTGATGCAGTCTGTCAAAAAGAGATTGGAAGAAGACAAGGAAATGAGGAAGACAGACGTGAGGAAGATGAATGAGAGCAGCAACCTTGGCTCAGCTGCCTATGGCAGTCCAGACATAGGCCAGAGAAACTTTCTTGTGCTGTTATGCTGGGAAGGTGATTGCATTACAATCACCTTGATTACAAGAAGTTCCATTTTTTTCTAGTAAATGGACAATACCATGGAGTGGGATGTAAGTGGAGTTTAGACAGCTTGAATTTGAGGATCTTTGCATCAAATGTACCATCTCTTGGAAAGTGCCAGCTACACAGAGAACAAGTAACTCCTCCTTAGGATGAAGGTGGAAACTAGGAATTCCATAAGGATGGGGTCTCTTTTTTTTTTTTTTTTTAATTTCATCCCTAAAGTACCAAAACACTGCTCAGCAATCGCTACAGATTTTTGAGCTTTCAAATTTAAAAGGTAGCCTTTTTTTTTGTCACAAGAAAAGCCTGCAAAGAAAGACCAATAATGAAATAAAAAAGTAGTGTCCACGTATATGTGCTATAATGGATGGAAAAATGCTTCAAAATATGTTATTTCCTGATAATTTTCAGTAGAATATTTGAATACTCAATTTTTTATACAAATACTTAAATCTGCCTCTGATCATTAGCAGCCAGATGATCCTTTCATTACACACATTCAGATTATGATAGACAGATGCTAAAATGATAACTACCCCTAAGCAAGTACTCAGCCGCCTTCTTTCATAAGAATTATGCTTTCTAATACAAAACTGTGCAGTCACTTCAAGGTTAAAAATGTAAGGCCATCAAAACAGCCATTTAATCAACTACTAAATTAAATCTCAGAAAAGACTCAACTGTTATGACTGTTGCCATTATCATATTTAAATATGGAAAATGTCTATTCTGATTTTGAATCTCTGCAAAATGGCTACTCTCCAAGGGTATTTTTGAATAATCTATATAAAAGAATTTGCACATCTAATGTCCATGGCTCCTAAAAGATTGCAGGCAGCTACTTAAGTAGAACCTGTGAGCTCTGAAACAAACTTTTAACTGAAATGCAAGACTACTATCCTGAAAGCTTTGGCATTTTTTAATATTCCTTTCATCTTGTGTGTAAGGGAATTTCAGCAAGTTTAATCAGTTTAACAAGTAAATTGTACAGCTATTTATCTGCATTTGTTGGGATGAGGTTAAATTACTTCTAGAGAAAAATTGCTTTTTTTTTTTCCTGATTTTTGTTTTCATAAACAAAATCACAGCATGTGGACAAAATAATCTTTTGAAACAAAAGCTGCTGATGTAAGTGAAGTGGCAGCATTTTTTCCTCTCTTCTCTTTCCCAGTAAGAAACATTTGCAACAGCAAATGCTCAGATTCTGGCTCCAAGGGGAAGCTCAGTACCCAGACTTACTCTCCTAGACACTCAATGCCTGTGTCACATGGGCCATCTTGTCCACGTAGAGGCATGGAACCGAACTGGCTAAAGCTTACCAGTGCAAAATACTGGAAAAAGAAATTCTGAAGCCTTATACCTCTGCATAGCCTAAATGCTTGAGCCTGGTCTACATAGAATGTTTCTTGATCTCTGTTGAATACATGTAGAGAAGTCAACTACAGAGTATCAGAGTTTGGCAACGTATGTTGATGTATTCTATTAACCCCCAAAGTAGGAGACCCGTTTCTGAAAAACACAGCTCTGCTTCTGTGCCTAGGTGAGGTTCGCAGCCAGTATGGAGGTGTCCTGAAGATGTTTATCTGCTTCATTAATAGCAGGTTGGCATTGTGCTATTTGAGCTATGAAAAGAAAAATGTGGTAATTCCTAGTTCTTTGGCAAATGCTCTTATTCCATGCCATTTTGCAGAAGTGAGATAGCAAAGTGGCCTTCGCTTCCCTGAATGACATTTTCAGAATACGGTAATTTATCAGTACCTTTCAGTGTATAGTTGTTGCATGTGTCTACAAGAGAAGGTCTAGCAGGCATGCTCAGAGCACGTTTCTGGCTTCCAGAACCTGAATATATTTTGCCTTTAGCTAGTCATCTCCTCATGCTATAGTAGTTCTGTGTACAGACAGAATTAAAATAGCAGATGAGTAGAAAGCCACGGGTGGGACAAATCACACATATTAGTTGAGGAAGCTAGCAGATAACTTTGTGGGACAAATGACCTACAGGAGATGCCTTCTGTCCTTCAGCTCCAGGGGAAAAATTCGAATTATCATCTTATCCAAGATGCTTAACTTTGAGATACATATACAGATAAAATAAAATCACATTTTACTCTCCCAGCCTTCAAGATATGCATTTTAAATACATGATTAAAAGGTATAAAATGCCCCTTAGAACTATAGGGCAAGTACTTAAGTGGTTAGTTAGACAAATTTTTTGAGGTATTCAACATAGCAGAGCAATTAAGGATGTGCATAGATATATTTTAACAGACATTACATGTTCTCTGCTAGATCATAACCACAGCAGTGAAAATGATCATTTATTCTTGTCTCCAGCTGTGGGGAAATCACAGCTGAGCCTTTCCTGACTTCACAAAACCAAGTAGACCCTGACTAAAAGCACAGTGGAGACCACGTTCCTGCCCAGTTCCTTCATCTCTGATATTTTCTATTGCTAACACACTCATAAAAAAAGAAGCCAATCAAATTTGCTATATATTTTACAACTTAAAATCCTTTTAATATACCATGAGTCAACCTTCATGTATCAATTTTCTTACGTTTTTGAAACTGTCTTGAAAACTTACCCATGTAGGGCTTTGTGCCAGCCATAGATGAAGCCTTTTCTGAGCCTTTTACTATGGTTGCAATGTTAAAGTCAGTGATATGAACATGTCCTGCAATTATACAAAGTAAAAACAGAAGTCAAAATAGCACATCTTACAAACATTCCTTGCTTTATTCAGTGTTTAACTGATAAATCTGAACAATTTAATGTCTTATTATTTACTATTAAGCACAGCTCATAGCTTAAAAAAAAAAAAAATAATAATGACAGCAAAAAAAAAAAAAAAAAAAAAAAACCATGCTTTTTTTTCCCCCTGCATGGTTGTATCTATTATTTGTTTGCACACTGAACCTCACTTCTGACCGTCCCTGAACCTCCTCCTTCTGTGAGAACCAAGGACAGCAATTGTCTTTTTGGAGCAGTAATGCACAGAACAGTGCTGAATTTCTTGGAGTGATGTGTGAACTCTACCTCACCTTTTCTCTAACTAGAGCCATCCCTCACAATCTCCTGCACTCATGACACCTGTCTGCCATCACATCCACTTTGTGTTACAATCAGCCTGGCTTTTTCAGGGTGTCCTTGGGGCAAAAAGGGAGCTGAGAAGAAAAAGGGTATTTTAAAAATACAGTAACTACAAAATTAGATTCATGGTAGCAGAGGAGCATTTGTGTAACAGCAGCAGGTCCCAGACAATCCTTCCTTTGACAGCAGATTACAAGATGAAAGATATTTGACACAATACAGACCAAGGACTTGCTGCCTGACCTGGACTGCTGATTTAAACTCAGCTAATCAGGTTGGATGGCCCAAACATGCCATCATTACTTTTTCCCTAGGGTGATTTATGGCAAGCACAGGGTAAATTGCTCCACCATTGCAAGGCAATAGTTACTAATTCTCATCTGCCTTAGGCAAGTAAACTGAATGCAAATCCAGAATGAAAATGTATCTATCTGCACAATTTTGTCTGCATAAATCTGCTGGTATGTTTTGCATCTCCTACTTAGGGGCTAGTTCCTGCTGTGGACACTTTGCCTGTGATTCCACCTGGCAATGCCACTGTGGAGGACATGGATAGGTGCTCCCTTCCCCAGCTTAGCCGCACACTCAAATCATAGTTGAGACATCTTGCCTTTAGGTGGAGTCCTGAACGTTGAGTTCCTCTGATACTTTCCCCTCCTCTTTTTTAAAATCAGGATCTCATACTCACTCAGTCCACAGCACGGAGCAGGCTTTGGGCATGAAGCAGTTATTGTTTACCGTCAAAGATGAAAAGAACGTAGAAGTTGATTTGCCTGTGGTCCTGACACTGAACATTTCCCCAGTGCCAGACTGAGGAACAGCAATCTCAATGAACGATTACACTGCTTTGACAATTTGACCTAGATCCTACTCAGAGTCTTCAGGAAATGTACCTGCCAGCCTCCAAACAGTCTTCAGCCATACGTGAACTGAAATTCTCAGAGTCCCCTCATTTGGCCAGACCTAGGTTACTTTTGAAAGTAAAATGGAAGAAGGCACATCTCATTTCCAAACTTGAACATATTTTTTTTTCAAATGGGTTACATAGCAGAAGTTTTTGATTAAGTGCTTTACACATTTTTTAGTCTTCACAAGAACTCCTTCTGTTGTGGTGATGCTTCCTCCTAAGACACCCTGCCCAAAACATGAGCAAAAGGTAAACAAAAGCATTGAGCAGAGCAAGTAATTCCTTCATAGAGAGTGGAAGGTGTTGCTTCCCATAAAAGCAGTCAGAGAGCACAGCCTGTCTTGCCACCAGTTTCCAAGATGGCATTCCTCCCTCTTGCTGGATGCAGCTCATGGCTGGTGAGGAGAACTTTTCTGCAGTAGAACATGATGGCAGAATGCTTATTGAGAAGGACAACTGAACCACACACAGGCACTCCATGGCATTGATGCTTTAATTCCATGTGCACTGTAGAATGAAAAGCTGCAACAATCTTAAAAACTAAGAATTTTTTTTTTTTTTATAAAGTTGTGTCATTTAAATGACACTACTGTAAATGATTCTCCCTATTAGAGTGCCAGCATGATAGCCTGTTGCAAAACACCTATCACATAATATTCCATTCAAACTGATCCAAACAGTTGATTTGTAATGAAAATTGCCTCTCCTGCAGTGCATTGTTTTCTCTCCCTTTTATTAGATTTCTTTTCATTTAACAAAACCAAAGTAGCACATGTGTGAAGGGTTATAAATGTTAGTTGGTGTGTTTTGTTAAAAATGCCTCTCTGTAAGGGAAGTAGATAGGCTTGAGAGCTCTGCATGCTGCTGGTGATAAAGTAGTAATGCTTTGCTCCCATGGTCACAGAACCACACAGCAAAACCACATCTGTATCTCTGGAAAAAAGAACACCTTTGTTCTTCTACAGCCTCTGGGGTGCCTGAACACAGATTTTGCTTGATGCTTAGAGGGCTGGTAGTTTGCCATGGAGGACAGGAAAGGTGTCCTCTGGGCAGGTGGTGGTTGTGCTGCCATTAGGACTGCAAACAGACCCCAATTTGTTATGAGCCTTTCTAATCAGTCTCTATGACATTTTTATGGCTGCAGATGCATGTAGTCACACACGTTATAGAATTGTAGGGGACGAAAGGACCTCTAGAGAGTAGTCCAACCACCCTGCCAGAGCAGATCCTAGACCAGGTGGGCACCCAGGTGAGTTTTGAACATCTCCAGAGCAGCAGACTCCACAGCCTCACTGGGCAACCTGTTCCAGCATTCTGTCACCCTTACTGTGAAGAAGTTCTTAAACGCATTTGTGCAAAATTTCCCATGCTTCAATTTGTGGCCATTTCCCCTTGTCCTATTGCCACTCACTGCTGAGAAGAGTCTGACCTCGTCCCTTTGCCTCCTGCACCTTAGATATTTATGGACACTGATCAGATGCCCCCTGAATCTTCTTTTCTTAAGGCTGAACAGACCCAGGTTGCTCAGCCCTTCCTCATAGGAGAGATCATCTTCGTGGCCCTCCATTGGACTCTTTCCAGGAGATCCTTGTCTTTTTTGTACCAGGGAGCCCAGAACTGGACACAGTACTCAAGGTGAGGCCTCACCAGGACAGAGTAGAGGGAGGGATGAAAGATAACTATTTCTGCAGTAAAAATACAACAGTTCTGGCTATTTTAATCTATTTCCAAAATTTCAGTTCACAGGGACATTTTACCTTCTGAGCTTCACGCCTTGTACTTGATCTCTCTTTCCGGATTTTATCTAGAAAAACTGACCATCAAGCTCAAGTCCAGTATCCTGGCTACCTTCTCAGGTACCAAGTACTGTACTGGACTGAACAGTATGTCAGCACCACCTGGATTTGGCTATTAAGAGCTGTGAAGCAGGGCAATGCACAGCAGATTCAACAGAACCTAAATAAATTCAAGTATCACAACAGAAGAGTTCTTTGCTTAATGTCCTAGGATGCATGACTCCATGATAATGAGAGGATAGCAGATAGTGGAGGAGGCAAATGCAGCTCTCTGCAAAATGGTTATTTCAAGTCTGATTGCACCGGTTTCAGCTAAGTATACACGTATATTTCATAGAAACATAAAGGCTGAAAAAGATCACTAAGATCATCTAGTCCAACCATCAACCCATCACCACCACGCCCACTAGATTATGTCCTTTAGTTCCATAACTACCCTTAATCTTAAGTAGAAAGAATCTCAATGACAATTATTTCAAGAACTGCATTCCTCTAGTGTGCTGCCAAGTAAGGCAAATCTGTAAGTTAGTTTCTACAGACAGTATATGACCCTTTAAAGCTTTGTGTGCATCTCAGAAAGAATGCATGAGGTATAAACATATGGGGCACGTATACATCAGTTTATCACATACCCACCAAATACCTAAGGCATAAAACAAATCATCTTTGACTATAACTGATTATTTTTTTTTGCTAAATGAGAATAGATCATAATTGTAATTAAAACAAGTTCTGATAGGTGGCTGAGGCTGGCTGACTAACGAGTTTCAATGGGTTTTAATATTCTAGGGTATGAAAGTGAAGGGGTGAATCTGAGGACAGAAAGAAAAAAATACCAGTCTGGAGTTAATGCCACCAGCTCAGCATGCATCAGATCTGATAAGAAATCTCTGCATAGTAATATTTTGGATCAAATTCAGATCTACTTTGCCCAGAAGGTCAAACTCTATGAACTATTTAAAAAACAGTTCTTCACATTCATCTATATTGAGTACAAGAGTGTCATCTTGCATCCAGATGAACTTTGCATGCCTTGTCAGCTGGACACTCATCATCAGGAGATTGCTAGAAGCCTGATGGTCCTGCTTAAGGTGTGTTCAAGAGTCAGCATTCAGGGCTTAAACTATTGAATTTATGGGTGGTGATTTTTATTCATCCTATTTTTAGTTTTAAGACCAAGATTGCTCATTGTCTACATTTTTCAAACTTGATGTTAATTTCCAAATGAGAGTCGAGAGTCTCACATAAACAAGGAAATAGACTTTTAAGGAAAGATTTGATGATCATAAAATAATATAGTCGTATATAAAAAGGCAAATAACACACCAACTTGAATCTACGTTTCTCCCTCCTAAGAGAAATGATTATTGAGTAAAATTATTACTGATAGAAGCAATAAACCAGTCAATTATAAAAGCTTTTAAAGGAGTTTTGGGATGTCATAAAAACGAGGAATAAAGTGAATGTAAGCAGCATGTTTCAAAACAAATGAAAGAAAACACTTTTATAAAAGATGGTGAACTGGTAGAACTTGTTTCTCCATGTGGTTGTAAAGGCCAGTTTTGGCAGCAGCTTCAAAGAAGTAGTAGTAGAATTCATTAACAAAGACCCATCCAGATTTTAATGGGAATATACAAAGCTTTACTAACATCCTAATGTAAAAATTGCAGGTGATAAGGATCACCGAAGCATCTGATGACTAGAATTGGCAGTGGACATTGTCTGTGGAGATGATCTTTTGACTGTGATAGAATACTGGCTGGGATCCCGTGTATGATCCTGAGGTGAATTCTTTGAATCATAGAATCATTAGAGTTGTAAAAGACCACTAAGATGATCTAGTCCAATCATCAACCCAGTCTTCCTTGGGAAAGGAAATGCAGAATGCCATGCAGAAACCTTGCTGTATCTTGTTTCAAGACATCATTTCACACTTGCCTGACAGGAAATCAAACCCTTGCAAATTCTTGGAAACAGAATAGTAATAGTCTGGTTACTCTGCACTACACAAAATCTGGATGTCAAAAGGGGAGCCTCATGATTGCTGCAGAATGATCTGAAGTGCTAATAATGCTGTTAAGTAGCTATAGAAAGAACAAGTTATCATCTCTGAAAAAAAAAAAAAAAAACCCAATATCCTAATATGATTAATACTCTTTGTTTTTCTATATTTCAGACATTATATGTATCCTCAGATGCAACAACTAATAGATCATGGAAATATTTAAAGGGATCATTAATTTCTTTGACATTTCAGGAAAAATGCAACATAGACCAGACTTGTCAATCTTTAGTCCTAAACACTGTCATTTCAGATATATGGATTTAAGCCATTAATGTGAAAAGAGCGGTGGAGGGAACAGAATACTGTTATCAGGAGATTTCTGTAGTTCTTTTCCCTGTATAATAAAATAATAGTAGCTGCCATGAACCACAAAGCAGTTTTTTCAGTTGTTACTGGAGTATCTATTTGAGGCACATGCTAGAAGAAGAGAACTCTACTGCTAAATTTAGAGGTTATTGATAGTTACAAGCCTTCTGGGAGAGAAGAAAACACAACAGAAGAGATTTGTGTTTGTTTACTTAGTTCAATTTCGAGTTTGAACCAAAAAAATGGGACACCATTGTTCCTGCTGCAGCACCCTGAAATGTTTCAAATCTCTCCCATCACGAAAGAGTGAATATCTCAAGGACATCTGACAATCATCTTCTGCTAGAGGCTTAAATATTATCTTAATTATCTGTTTTCACAGTTCTTGTATAGTATGACACTTCTTGTGATGTCCAAACTCATCCACTACTACATCAGAACTTCAGCAGAACACTAAGTTCCTACACTACAGGAAGTGAGGATTTGTTCAAATGCAACAGCCATAGGAACAGAAACAGAGTAAAGAAGCTGCTTACCTTACACACACATATATTGAACAATTGCTTATTTATTTATTTTTGCTAAGTGAAAGTTGATGGTTCCTCAAAAATTTGTGCTACTGTGAAGTGTCTATATAATCAATGAATGTACAGATGTTATAATTACGAAACATACCAGAGAGTTTGGCTAAGCAGTTATTATACCAAAAGAGAATAGATAGAATGCTTACCCATATCCTCTACTCCCTATGAAACTCCAAAGGAGCAATCTCCAGAAGACATCCTTCCCTGCTGCTAGTCAGCTCTTAAATGGGTTCTAGAAGATGTGGAGCCTGCCTCCACCTCTTCTGACAGCATAGGTGAATTGCTTTCACCTGTGCTCCCAGGGCTGACTCATTGCTCACCTCAGGTGATCTGTCAGAGGTTCAGGCCATGATTCAGCAGTTCCCATACAGTGTCGCATCTTAATTGAAGCTTTTTTAGGGCTTTTGGATAGGATTCATGTGTCTAAATTTGGTTTTCTATATCTTTACACAAAAGTTCCTCTGTATTATTCACTGAAGAGAAATAGATATTAATGCTTAAGTGCAGAAAACCAAAATGGATCAGATGATCTAAATGAGTCTGTATCTATAAATAAATGATGATGACCAGCATGATACAGACACTACTACTACATCGTCATCTCATTTAGTGAGTACAGGGTCTCTTGCCCAGACTGGGAGAACTACAACACCCAGACACAGCAGGTCTGTGAGCTGATTAATTCTGCTCACCAAGGTCTACCTTGGTAAAGGCTGGTGAAGCACCATGCTGCTTTGCAGAGCATGGGCTATCCATCCCAATATTTCCAAGCTGGCACTAGCTGATTTTGTTGCTGAATATTTTGTAGTCACCAAAATGTAATTCTGCTGGCTCTTGTGTAGCTCATCTACACTACATTGGATCCCATAGGAAAGCACTTCCAAGAGGCTGATTTTGTGTTGTAACTGACCTTGCTGAGGAGCAAGGAGAGATAAGCGTAACTACTTCAAAGGCTGTCAATCAGAGATTTAACACTCATAGTCATTTCATGTTGCCTTTCCATCTTTAATTCACACAGGACTTAAAAGACAAGATATTTCTATTTCATGCTTATTTGCTGATATTAGCGTCTAGGGAAAATTAACACATGTGAGTCTGAAACACTAAATTCCTGAAGTCCTAGATGATTTAAGACTGAAATATCATTAAGTTTTATTGGCGTCAGTATTCCCAGAGGTAAATTCCAGCTGTCTTAAATGTTACTTCTTTAATCAACTTTAACATGCTGACCCAGCAGCTCTGCAACAGATTTTGAAAAATAATTGTATCTTTGGCGTCATTTCAAGTCTGTATTTTTTTCAGAGATTAACTGCTCTTAGTCGATTTCTGAAGTGTATAAAGCAAAACAAGTCTTTCCCAGCAGCAAACACATGTTAATTTCCATTTTGTCTGTCTTGTACTTCTGTTCTAATTAATACAAGGTCAAAACTTGCTTTTATTATATTTTCTCGTATCCTTGCTATAAATGGCTGCAAAAAGATGCATTTCATTTTAGCAAAATACTTCATATATTCTCTGCATCTGTATGGTTCTCATAAAAAAAAGTCAGAATTTTTATTCACTCAGCACATTTTTTGCTTGAGATCATGGAAATAGTCTTGAAAATTCAAAGCTGATTATGTTGTTAGACATTTTTAAGTATTTTTTGAGCCAGAACTATATGTAGAACCATGAAAATTTTACAGGCATTTTAGAGGCAAATTTCAGATTTCGCATCTAAATTTAGGAAAATAATTTCAGATGAACAATATTTTGCTATTTGAAATTTCCTAATCCTTCATGATTTCAGTACAGAAAATAGATGCTTGGTACTGCTGTATTGGAAGGTCCCTAAAGAGCGATTATCATTGAATCATAGAATCATAGTATATCACAAGGTTGGAAATGACCTGTAAGATCATCTAGTCCAACTGTCTTCTCATTACCACTGCTACCACAAGCACTAAACCATATCTCGCAGCTCCTCATCCAGGCGCCTCTTGAACACTGCCAGGGACGGTGACTCCACCACCTCCCTGGGCAGCCATCCCAGTGCCTGACCACCCTCTGAGAGAAAAAGTTTTTCCTCATGTCCAACCTAAACCTCCTCTGGTACAACTTGCAGCCATTTCCCTGGGTCCTGTTCGTTGCCTGGGAGAAGAGGCCAAATCCCTCTTCACCACATCTCCCTTCAGGAAGCTGTACAGTGCAATGAGGTCTCCCCTGAGCCTCCTCTTCTCCAGGCTGAACAATCCCAGCTCCCTCAGCCGCTCCTCATAAGACTTGTGCTCCAGACCCCTCACCAGTTTTGTTGCCCTTCTCTGGACACGTTCCAGGGCCTCAATGTCTTTCTTGTAGTGAGGGGCCCAAAACTGAACACAGTACTCGAGGTGCGGCCTCACCAGTGCTGAGTAGAGGGGGATGATCACCTCCCTGCTCCTGCTGGCCACACCATTTCTAATGCAGGCCAGGATGCCATTGGCCCTCTTGGCCACCTGGGCACACTGTTGGCTCATGTTCAGCTGAGCATCAACCAACACCCCCAGGTCCTTCTCTTCTTCACACTCATCCAGCCACTCATCCCCAAGCCTATAATGCTGCATGGAGTTGTTGTGCCCAAAGTGCAGGACCCGACACTTGGCCTTGCTGAACCTCATCACATTCATATCAGCCCAGTGATCCAGCTTATCTAAATCCCTCTGAAGGGTCTCCCTACCCTCAGTGACTTACAGTAATCATGTTATTAAAATATTAACTTATTTTTGATTGGTGTCCCTGGTGATCCTCATTCCTATTAATTCTTTCATGTTCAATTCAGATCAGTTTTTTTTTTTTTTTCCCATAGGAATGAGTATTGCAAAACTGCCAATTGGACAGGGGGATGTGCAGAATGTCCAGATTTCAACTGGAATCCTGCAGCTCAAGCTGACTTAAAGACCATGATCCACCATATCACAGACAGCTCACAAATTAGAGGCATCTTGGAGAATGCAGTCAATATTTACTCACCATGCTCGTCCAGTAATATGTTGTCAGGTTTGATATCCCTGTAAAATAAGAAAATGCATGCATTATAATTCATAGCAAAAGAAAATGTGCAATTTAAAAATGTTTTCCATATGTTTGCAGGGGTCAAGTAACTTAAATTAGAGCAATGAAAATCGTATCATATACAAAGGTAAATGATTTTTATCTACATTATTTACTGCCTTGAAAGCATGCATACTAAAGATGTTGCCTAGGTTTCTATTTCATATGTTTTTGTTTTCATATGGTTAGCATTGACAAAGATTTGGCTTTCAAGATGTATTTTACTCTTTAAAGTAGTGGGAACAACAAAATGGAAGATTCGCATCCTGGATGTGCCTGATTGCCTCAGGGACTCTGCATGTGACAAACACAAGAAATCAGTTAACTGGGAACATCACTGATCTACCCTTTCTGCCAGACCTACTAATCTGCCATGCTCATATGCAGGAATCACTCACATATTGGAGAGTCCTGCTAGATCTTATACTACCCAAGCAGGTCTAGCAGCTCCCTTTTTAGCACTTGAATCTACACGTGTCTGCTTGCAATGGTAAATAGCAGGCTTGGAAAAGGGGTGGTGCTAAGGAAATGTGGGATGTGATGTATCAAAACATCAGCTCAACTCTGATGTTCTTGGCACAAAGAAAAGACACTGGTTAGAGAGCCATGCTTGTCTTTTTAAGTTGACCTTTACTCTGCTGTCAAGAACAATGGAGACAACTTTTCTTCACCACTGCTGGACAGTGCCTTCACACTGGCAGCTCACACCTAATACAATTTTGAAGCAGTATTGCATTTCCTGAAGGGAAGATACATTGATCTGCCTTGTGCAAAATATTTGCCTCTTGGGCTAAATTCTTCACGGATCTCAGAAGAGAATGCATTGAAAAATGTATTCCAAAGATCTGTGTATTTTAATGCAGCCAAAGGATGACTTGATTATTCTGATTTAAACATTTCACTATAAATCCTGTCTGAAATATGTACTTACGCATATTTAGATTTCACTAACAAATTTTACCAAGTTTTCCCATGAATGGAATAAAGAGAAGAATGAAGTGTTGCAAAAGGATAATATTGCATCAGAAGTTTTTTTTTTTACTTTAAATGTGGAATGATTTCTGAAGGAAATGTCAGGAATAAGATAGCAATAGCATCTGTATACATTATGTATGAAGTGACTTCGATATCTTTGTTGACAAAAGTCAACTTGCAGCCTAATACTATGAATTCCAAACTTTTTAGCTTTTCCTGAGAATCATATGAAAATATGAAGTACACGAAGATTATATTTACAGTTTGTGAAGTAAAAGCTGGGAAACAGAATAAATAAAGAATTGTTTTGAATCACGTTCTGCATAATATTGTAGGATGTGTGCGTGCATAAGGAAAATGATCTCACTATGCGTTACCATCTAGAATGGAAATTTATACTAATATTTCAGTGTGAACACCTGCTTTTCTTCTGTATAACTTACAGGCTATCTATAGTGGTCTGATTCAGGAGAAAGTTTGATATATACTTGTAATATAAAGAGGAGATCTCTCCTAGAATCCACGTCAACAACAAATCTCTGATTTCTAACTTGTTTCTTTCCTCTTCCTCACACTCTCTTGGCACATAGCTTACTATTTCAGAAACTCTCCTTCCTCTGATTTCACATGGCTGACGTTATGAGATACAGATGAACTGTAGGTTTGAATGCCTTTTTTATAAGACTTATCTTTGGTCGAATTAGCATAGGAAATGTTATACATTTTTATATGTAGTTTTATACATTATCTCTCAGCTAATGAGACAGTTTTCAGAAAAGCTACTTCTCATCTGATATCAAATATATTTGCTAGTAACGAGCTGATCTCTAATTACTGATAACTGTTTCCCAATAAGAGATTGAACTGTGATTTCAACAACTTTGTATCTGGCCCATGACTATTAAGTACACCATGATTTTCAGTGGAAATGAACTTGCAATTATGACTAATAACTATTGAATTAAATATTTAAAACTTTGTCTTTACAAGATTTAACAAGCATAATATGACTCTGCACTTCTCATATGGGTGAAAAATTGGAGTCACAGACATATCCATGAGTGCCATTCTGTGGCTTGTTAATATCAGTGATAAATTCATTCTTCATACTGTTTTCAACAAACTGAGGAAAAAAACCCAACTCTTGGAATGATAAAATCATGAGTACTTCCCTGAGAATAAAACTGAGAGAAAGGAAATATTTGACTTTATGAGCTACTGTCAAGTCTATAGCAATGTGTCTCCCAGGGATTGCTTATTACAACAAGTCCATGCCTTTTCTCTCTTTTTTTTTTTTTTAAGAAGATGATTTTAAACAATATGAATATCTATTATGGTTTTGCACTATTGCATAGACTGTGTATTTTTATTGTCACCAGAAAAGACACTGACAAATCCACTAGTCAACCGCATATAGTGTCAAATATATCTTACATGCAGTTGTATCTGCAATGTTCAGTAAGCTGAGCAGTAAAAATTATACCTCTGCTTGTCTTTCTGTGACTAATGCAAGCAGTGGCTTATACTTGATACTGATTCTTATCTGAGGGATCTTTTCCATCACTGTCTTTGCTCATTCTCTCTGAGGCAGGACCGCAGCTGGGGGCAGGGTGTATCAGCTTGCAGAGGTAACTTAATAGATTCATCTGTACCTGACGCAACTTGATAGATTCATCACCATGTCTCCAATCTCATATTTTTAAACTGACTTTACAGCAAGTAAATGTCATGGGCTAACCTAAACAAGAAGGGGAACAAGTTTCCTATGTGTATTTTTCCCCTTGAGCATAAAATACCACTGTTTTCAGATCACATGCCCGGAGTTGTCTATATGTGATATATGAGATATATGAGAAAATAAAGCACAAATTAACAGTAAAAAGTGTGCTTTCCAGTAGCAGTCTATTATGTAGTTATTCCCAGTCTACAGCATAGAACTCGAAGATCACCCCACTGGAGGCACCTTGTTGAAAGCTTTACAGACTGGAGAGGGATGAGCTCACAGTCATGTCTTTGCACCTTTAATACATTTGGCTTCAACAGAGTCAGTGTGAAGACTTGGAAAGTGTAGGAGCATTGCAGTTATAGTTAGAGGACCTCTTCAGAATGGAAGGCTTGTGGTGTTCACCAAAAGGCAGCTAGCTCCTTTGAATAAATGCTCCGGTTAAATTCATTTATATAGTGAAAATGCTGTTTCTGTAGAGATATGGATTTAAAAGATAATAATTCTTTAGTTAAGCTGTTAAATTCAGAAATGTTAAATAAATGAAATTCTGTTTTGACTACACATCATCAGAAAAAGTTTTTCCTTTTAGCAAACTTGTTCAAATGGGGAAAAGAAGGATGTGAAATTCAGTTCCTTAACTTCAGGGTTTTCCTGTTGTTTATACTCCTAGTTGATATAATGAACTGAAATACTCATTTCATAATCCCAGTATATTGAAGTAGCTCATTAGAAAATTCTAAAGACTTTTGCAGACAGCAAACTTACTCATGTCCAGACTCAGAAAAGCCCTGGGCTACCTTCAAACCCATTCACCAGCAACAGGGTTGTCTATAACTAATTTCTAATCCTTGACTTTCTCATTCTGTGCTGGTGCTACTCCAGTTCTTCTTTGTATACACAGAAAAAATATAGAAATGGAAGCAGAAAAACCTTCAAAGTCTTCACTCACTGACAGGACAAGGTTATATATTGTAACTAATATAACAACCCAAAAAAGCAGAGTTGAAAACAAATGAGAAAAAAAGGTTGGAAGAAATATGGTTCAGTTTCTACTTGTTGCTATTGCTTACGAAACCATTTCTGGCTTTCTTCATTCACCTAGCAAGAAACGTCAAATAAGGCTGCCTGAAGGATGGAAGTACCTTTAAAAGGTGCTTCATGTATTTTCCAAGTAATAATGAATAATTGATAATCTATTTGTATCTTTAATATCTAGGTCAAGTGGACACCGAAGACATTCTTTCTACGTGGAGTATAACAGTGAGTCACTCATATTCATTGCATATGCCAATCAGAGTCTCCTGAACTCACTTGAAAAGATTCTGTTGATTGTAAAGGACTAAAGCTCAAACATTTTCAGTTTTATTCACTGTTTCCATCCACATTCTTTCCAGGAATTACTAAGTTTGGTTAATAATTTTCTAAATTCAGAATTGGAAAGGTTGTGTAATTTCCATCCTTGGAGGTTTTCAAGACCTGACTAAATAAAAGTCCAGAAACCTGTTCTGATCTTACAGCTGACCCTGCTTTGAACAGTGGACTCTTAACAGTTCTGGAGGTCCATTCCCACCTGAATTTTGAATCTATGAAACATAACACATCTAATTGTTCATCACTATTTTTCCTCTTCCTTTTGGCTAAAAACAAGTTCATGAAAGATTTATAAGGGACCTGGAAGGAATCTTTGGTATAGTCCAGTTAGTCCAGTACAGATGGAAGCTAATCAGAGCTTCCACATATTCAAATCTATCCCAGGGCTTAAATACTCATGAAGAAAATAGTAGGAATAAATAGCTTATCTCTAGCATGAAAGGAGGTTAAAATTCAAATGCTCTGCAATTCACTGTAGTTGTAACATAATTCTAATTAGCTATGCGACATAGAAAAAAATCAGCTGATAAGGAGTCTGAGAAATCTCAATAAGAGTGTGAAAATTAGGTGAATATATTGCCAGTACCAGATAAAATGACTAGAAGAGAATGATCTTAATTGCTTTAAAAGGAAGAAGCCACACTTGTGTTCCTTATATAGATTAAATAGTCATATTAAAGAAGACTGCAAAGCATATGGTGATGCTATTTACTGTAAAGCTTGAAGTCCAGAGCTATCTCCAAAAAAGTTCCACGTGTACTGCTATGAAGTAACAGCCAGGACATTGTCACTTTTCATTCCTTTTTGTCTCTATTGGACTTCAAATATTAATCTAGAAAGGACAGGCTTGTGGCTGATGAAATCAACCATGCTTTGCTCAGTTTA